TATCAAAACTTAATTTTTGATTAATAATATGCATTGCTAAGAACTTAATTTGGACATCTTTAAAGGCGATTTTTTAATTTTTTTGCACCCTCAGATTCCAGATTTTCCAATAGTTGTATCTCAGCCAGATATTGTCATATTCTAACAAACCATACATCAATGGAAAGAATATCTGGTTACACTTTATTTCGATAGTCCACTTTAGATACTATCGAAATAAAGTGTTACCGATTATTTATTCAGCTTTCGGATGATGTATGAATCTCAATTTCAAAAAATTGACCCTTATGACTGGTTTTGTGGTCCAGGGTCATATATACAGTATATATATATATTAGGGCTGTCAAAGTTAACACGTTAATAATGCATTAACGCAAATTCATTTTAAAAGGGATCGTATGATGCTGCTAAAAAGAACAGTATTTGATTTATTTGGTGTAATGAAATGTGTTTATGCGGTTTAAGGATCAAAAAACACATTATTTTCCACATACTGTACATTATTGTTTCTCCTCTATGCCCCGCCTTTCTGAAACACGTAGATTTTTACAAAGCTCATCGGTCTGAAAAGCGAGGTGTGCTGTGATTGGCCAGCTATCCAGTGCGTTGTGATTGGCCGAATACCTCAAGCGTGTGACGGAAATGTTACGCCCCTCACCATACTGTGATGCCCTGTCCAGCCGGAGCGACGAGACAAAAACATGAAAACCCATTATAAACTAGGCTTTTGTTGCATCCAGTGGGGACATAATTACTGATTATAATGACTTATACTGTCTTTTTACGCATTGCGTTGTGTATCGCGCTGCGTAAACATAAAACCATGTCTGCATTTGTGAGCGGAGAAACAACAAACAACAAGCTCTACTCTACACTGCTCAAAACTCACGTTTGAATCATCAGTGGCAAAATTCTTTAAATATGAAGTCAGAACAGCCGGCATTGTACTCTCCCAGGATCAGGAAACAGTCCTCCATAAAATGCGCTGCACACATCTGAATATTTGGGTTGAAGTGTTCTGGATCAGTGTTGTAAATACAACTTAACCACTGATTTCTAGTCGTGTCCTCTTTTGGAAGCTAATTTTATTAACGCACGATTAATGCAGTGTGCAGTTTCTGTTTCCAGGTTACCGTGAATCCTTAAAAAGTCTTAAGAGGTCTTAAATTTAGTTGTATCATATTTAAGGCCATAAAAAGTCTTAAATGATACAAAAAAGTTTTGATTATGATTTCAAAAGGTCGTAAATTTGGGGAGGAAAAGACACGAATTGTGATATGGCTTAATGTGACGATTTAACTTCAAAAGGCGAGGATTTCATTGAATAAACATGAGCGCTGCACGATTCAAAGTCAGCTGCTGAGCTGCTTTGTATACAGTCTGAGAAAACGCTTTATTTCTGCCATTCAGACAGCGCCATCTTCTGGCAGAGAATGAATTTGCATTTTCAATAAGCCTGTCTGCTGTTTTTGTTCAGACCAATGTGAACATCCACCCATGTTTTTATGCAGCAAACACGCAGAGTTGTAAATGTGAACTGGTAGATCGATAAGAAGATGCATTATAAAAATCTAAACAATTAAGCCAGTAAAATATAGTTATATGTTATTTCATGAATATAATAATTAATTGATAATAATTGTTTCAATTAATATAATAATTGATACTTTTGACTTTTGATTCAATTTCTTAAGAATGGTTTAAAAAAACTTTTTGTTTTTGTGAAAACCTGTATCTAAATTCTTTATGCTCTATGTTGCCTATGGTTTCACCAATAATAAACATAAATTTGCATAAATCATCCATATTTGCCCATGCCCATGTTGATTAGTAGGGGTGGCTCGATACCATTTTTTAAGAACCGGTCCCCCCGATCCGATACCAGACATGATGAGTACCGGACGATAGCGATATTGATCCGATAACAGTGCAGGTTTTTTTTGTTTTGTTTTTTTATGTAGAATTTCTATACCTCATTGTGTGCTGATCATCACTCATTTGTGTTTTAAACACAATCTACTAAATATAGACAACTTAATTATTAAAAAAACTAACAAATGAAAAATATATAATCATAATCTTTGATAAAAATACTATTATAAACTAGGTTAGTGGATAATTCAGAAGCAAAAGTTACTCTAGAAAAATCATGAGTGCACAATAATTTTATAAAATCTAAACATTTAGTGAAAAAAAAACAACATTATTTTGTGGGGAACAAATAAAAGTGAATAAGTGTAGGGCTAAATCTGGTAAAATGTTAAACATTGCTCTTTGTATTGTTTT